ATGCTCTCATACCCTTCTTTATGACCTGAGAGAACATGATATGTTCAGTGAGTTTGTCCGTACTACTGTAGCCTCTGAAGTCCTAAAACCAGTTCACTCTTTAAGCAGCAGTCTCAAACTTCAGGCCTGGTGTCCAGATCCAGCCCATAAACAGGTCCCCCATGCTTTGAGTATTTCTCGTTACATCCACCCTTTTATTTTAGAGCAATAATTTTCCAGTAAGGCTGCAACATTGGGGCATAAAAATTGTCTTTTTATTTCACATTTAACATTTAGTAAGCTGAAACAAAAACACTTGGACCAGCAGCCGTCTGATTTACTGTGGCACACTTGGCACTAAAACCTCTCTGTCTAAACCTGAAAAATGGACTATCTAATGCAAGGCTGGCTTTAAAAGAGGTGGACAATGGGCTTGCCGTGGTAGGTGGTGTTACTGGTGTTACGCAGATTCGTGCGTGAATTTGATGTCAAAGTGTAAAGCAAAAGCGCAAATAAGCGTGTTAGTTTTGATGAGCAGTCATCAGTAATGTGGATAAAACGACTAAGTGAGCAAAGATAAATAATGGAGCAGCTAGAACAGTCTGGTAGGTTCAGGAAATGACATTACTGTAATGCAGCTTTTAAAATGAGGAAAAGACGACTCTTACGATATCATGATATAGCGGGGGGTTGTTCCAGCACTAAATTAGTAAATACTAATACAGTAAAATAGACATCAATAAAATACAATAAAACCGGGGTGTAGGTAGAGTAGTGGATAGTGCCGGCGCCCCATGTACAGAGGTGATGACTCGCTGCAGCGGTCGCAGGTTCGACTCTGGCTTGCAACGATTTCTGCATGTCAACCCCCGCTCTCTCTCTCACCCCCTTTCACTCTGTCCTATACAATAAAGGCAAAAAAGCCCAAAAAATAATCTTTAAAAAAAAAAAGAATACAATAAAACCCTAACTATCTGACTATTAATCCTTCATTTCATCAGCAAGGTCCCACTGAGATACAGGATCTCTTCTGTCAGGGAGTCCTGGTCAGTTCAACCAGTTACAACAGTAAAAACAACAACAACAAGACTGTCACGTATTAGAACACATACATCACATTAATCAACACAAAGGAAAACAGTAAGAGAAAAAGGGGTACACAGGCCAAACCAATGACGTGCAGACACAATCCACCTAGGCTAAAGTATTTGTAATCAAATCACAGGTCCCCTGCTGTGCTCTTTTTACCATCTTTTCCATTCATAAGAAACCTTTAAAATCAACCAGTCTTTGTCTTTGTGCAGCACTTTGTATCTAGCTCTTTGATTGGCTATTTTTTATATAATAGTGTCTTTTAGCAGATACATTATTCTCTGTTTCCTGCCCAAGGACGACAGAAGAAAATTGGCTCATAGCTAACTCTGGTGCAGCTAAGAAGCTGTGCACTGTTCCTGTTAGACAAATAAAATAAAGACTGCATGGAGCAGTAACATGTTTCCTTCAAGGCAGCTTTTCAAAGACCTTTAAAAACGTTCATGTCCTTCATGATGTTGAGTATGTACTGACATTATTTTCTTCTTGCTTGCAGAAACGTGTAATGATTAACTGTTTCCCAGTGGATCGTGCCAGCATTCCAAGTCCTCTCCAGAGCATTTTGAAAAAGGCCGACAGAGATACTTCACCACTCGCAAAATGGCAGGAGATGGCACATACTCTCAAAGATACTCTTCTCTGCTTTTTACTGGCAAAGAAATCCACCTTTTTTGTATTGTCAGCCTGATGACAACTTTTTGTTCTTTGTTTTTTTTCTTCTTCAAGGTGTCTTTCTTTTGGAATTATCAGTGTAAAAGAAGAGACCGTGGGTTTAAATCCATATATGGGAACTAAAATGTTTTATTAAAGTAACATCAATCTTTTGGCATATTGTGACAATACGTTTGCAAAAGAAACCATGTGAAATGTTGGCCTTCTCATACATTTCTGCACTAACAGTGTCAACAAAGATGCATCATTGTCCATAAGTTACTCGCTCCTACTTACAAGGATGTGTATTGATAACATCTTTTCCTAAGTGACTTTGTTTTTTATCGAGAGCTGCAAGCCTTCCATATTTCCCATAATATATTCTACTTCCATTTTTGCATAATAAAGCTAAGGAAATTAGTATTTTATAGACTGATGGGGGAAAATGGTGCGTTCTGATTTGTGTCTTGAGGCTGAAAATATATTGTACTAAACCAACTCTAATATTGCTGTCACAGATGATTTTCCAGCTTTTATGAATGATTAAATTTTAGTACATTTTCATTATTTTTGTCTTGATGTTTTGTCTTATTGTGTGTTTTTGTCATCGTTTGATGAATAGAAATCTACAAATGTGCAGTTTTTGATTTGGAGCTGAAGCTAAAGTATGGCCAACCACTTTAATGGTTTTATAAATCATGTGTTTTCTCCACAGCCCACAGCAGCTGAAGTTAGTAAAGTATTGCTCAGGACTCACAGCAGTACGAGGATCGATACCTCCAGGAGAGCCTCGACAAGCTGAAGTGTAACTGTAGTGTTTTCCTGTTGACAGAAATGACAGCCTAAGCCCCAGTTCACCAGAGTTTTAGCTGAGGAGTTGACCCAGCCGACCTGCAGTAGTGGAGGTTGGAGCCGAAAGAGGAAGGAGCAGAGGTGGAGGCAGCAAAAGCAGAATAGAAACTGTGATCAGATGTTGGGCTTGAGGCAAGCGAAGGCAGAAGAGGCTCACTCAGCTGATCCACCCCAGACTGATGGTGAGACACAAAGGCCTCTTTAAGATGACGCAACTCTTCACTGCAGATTAACCTCGTGATAACGTGACTGGATGTATAAAGTTTTAAACCACAGCACTCCAGTGCACGTGATGCCTTTCTGATTCTGGGCCTTCAACTAAGCAGTGGTGGAAAGTAACCAAGTACATTCACTCAAGTACAGTTTTAAGGCGCTAGTATTTAAAGGGATAGTTCACCCCAAATTTAAAAAAAGTTTTTCCTCTTACCTGTAGCGCTATTTATCAGTCTAGATTGTTTTGGTGTGAGGTGCAGAGTGTTGGGAGACATTGTCTGTAGAGTGTCTGCCTTCTCTCCAATATAATGGAACTAGATGTCACTCAGCTTGTGGTGCTCAAAGTGCCAAAAAACTACATTTGAAAAACTCAACAGCAATGTCTCTGCAGAAATCATGACCTGGTTACTCAAGATAATCCACAGACCTTGTTGTGAGCAGTTTCATGTAGGAACTATTTTCTTTTTTCTGAATTACACTTGCCAACATTATCACTGCAGAAGGAAGCATACATCTACTGCTAGCTCACCCAACACCACTGACCTAGCTAACATTACAGCTCAGACAGGGAGGACATCATTAATATTTACATGCCATGTGGTCATGAGAACAGGCCTCTTGTCCCTGAGTAGATGCACACTTCCTTCTGCACTGTGATACAGTTGGCAGATGTAGTTCGGTAGAAAGAAAATAGTTCCTACATGAAACTGCTCACAACAAGGTCTGTGGATTATCTTCAGTAACCAGGTCATGATTTCTGCAGAGACATTGCTGTTGAGTTTTTTAAATGTATTTATTTGTTGCTTTGAGCACCACACGCTGAGTGACATCTAGTTCCATAATATTCGAGACAAGGCAGCTGATATCTCTAAAACTCAGCACCTTACACCAAGACAATGTAGACTGATAAATAGCACTACAGGTAAGAGGAGAAATATGTATTTTTGATTTTGCGGTCAATTGTTTCTTTAAGTAAAGTTTATACAGGACCTCTCTAGATCAGATCCTTTTTGTACTTCTTAACATCATTTGTTTTACTCCACTTTTTACTAGTAACTTTACAGATTTAAATTTTTACATAAAAAAAAACTCAGTGGTTAGAGCAGGCTCCCATGTGCGAAGGCATTGTCCTTGCCAATGGCTGTGGCCATTCGACTGCAGCCCACAGCCCTTTGCGGCATGTCATCCCTTCTCTCTCTGCCCCTTTCACTCTTAGGTCTGTCCTGTCTAATAAAGGCAAAAAGCCAATAAAAATCTTAACAAAAATGTCCACAAAAACTTGCATATGACACATTTATAAAATACAAACTACTGTTGGGATTAATCAGTAGTTCCTAACATTTGTGCACCTTAGGAAAAAAAAACTATAATTGGGGCTCTTGTATAAGATGTAGCAGTTAAATCATATCCCCTTTTAACTTCTCAGATGGTTTCATTTAAACACTTTTACGGCCTAAAGAGGTTAAATTATTCAATATTTTAAGTCTAAAATATGAAAACAAAATTGTGTTACAGAACACTGTATTTCTAAATCTCTCTCTTACACATTTACTGTATCTTGTGAGCCAACATATAGGGGTCACTATGTTGGGAACCATGTAACTGAACTTAAGGAAAACTAGCTCCACCTTAAGCAGCTGCAACAGCTAAACACTACCTAGACATTCAAACTGATGTTGCAGTATCTAATAATGTCATATGTAATATCGCAGTCACAGAGGCCATTTTTCTGCAGAATGAGTACTTTTACTTTCAAGTACATGTTACTGATAATACTCCTCATCAATAATCTTTTTACATTTACTCAGACAGGGTTGGATGATTAATGATTGTGCAGAACTTTTCCTTGTAGTATTTTTATGAGTTGTTGTACTTTTTAAGTTAAAGGGTGTGAGTACTTGCTCCATCACCAGCTACAACAAGATGACTTCTGATTGTGAATTAAAGGGACCCATGTCAGCGTGCTGTGTGAGTGGAGCTCGTGCTACCTGTGCAGGAGCATGATCGATAATAACCTTTAAGTAACCAGCTGCAGAGAATTCTTCTTTCTAAAGGCATCAGACCACACCTGCAGCTTTTTAATGGTCGCAATTAAAATCCTCTTTCTGTGTATTATCAGGGCTGACTGATGAGCGGCGGTGCCTCCCCATCTCCCTCACCTACCCTGGCCCTCCTCCCTGCCCCCTTTCCCCTCCCTCTCTCCCACACGCGCATACAGACCGACAGGCTACGCGACCCCCTCCCCCCCTTCCATCATTTTCCCATCTCTTACTCACTCTCTTCCCTACAACAAACATGGCCGCGAAATCTGATGGTGCACCCGTCTCTCTACGAAACGAAATCCCACCCGAGTGTCCCTCCAGGTCGGACCCGCGGCCTCCCCAGCACCGTCCCGCCGAGCAGCGCTACTCCCTCCCGGACTGCTGCTGGACGCTGTGCGCCCTTTTGGTGTTCTTCTCGGACGGGGCCTCAGACCTGTGGCTGGCCGCGGACTACTATCTAAGGAGTGAATATTGGTGCTTTGCACTGACTCTTGTCTTTGTGATAGTCCCGTCCGTGGTCGTGCAAGTGCTGAGCTTCCGATGGTTCGCCTACGATTTCTCGGAGACCGTCGAGAGCGGCACGGCTGCGGCCGCCGTGGTGGCGGCGTCGGGAGCGGAGGAGAGCGACTTCAGCACCAAGGACAGCGGCGAGCGGGGCGCTGGCCGCTCTGCCGCGGCCGGGGTGCTGCCAGGGCCGGGCACCGGGGGTGGAGCCCGGGGCTGCTGCAGAGCCTTCATGTGGCTCTTCCAGGCCATCATTCACATCTTTCAGCTGGCACAGGTCTGGAGGTAAGACTGATCATAAGGAGATCAGAGAGGTGGGGAAACTACACATTCTGCCTTTGTGTGTGTGTGTGTGTGTGTGTGTGTGTGCACGCACATGCACATGCATCCTCCAAAGCCCAGCATCACTCCCTGTAGCTAAACGCTTATGAAACGTAATCATTCAGGGAGGAGTGTGCCCAAAATGCCAGAATGTCTTTTTGTATTGTTTGACGTTTCTCTCCAGCTTGGAAAGGGAGAATTTGACTCCACCCACCCCACCCCCCCAACCCCCTGACGCGCTTTTAGGTCAATCATCTCCCGGGAAAATCATCAACCCATCCACACCAATCGCCTTATATAGAAAAATAAAAAAAAATCCCTTTGTCTTTAGGGGTTTGGGCAAGAAGCAGCCTGACTGCTGAGGAAAATGAATAGTCTTAAATGTCATGAGAGTTGCTTCCTATTTGCAGTGATGTGTGTACCCGCCTCCCTTTCACTGTTTATTGTATTTTCAGTTCTTAGCTTGAGGCTGCTGCTCTTATGTTTGCAAAAATCCATACTCTCAAATCTCCCAGCAGTTTTTAGATTCAGTGTGTTCCTCTCAGCTGAGCCCAAACATGTTTAATTACCAGGCACGCACTGAGACTAAAAACAAACCAGTGTACGCTTTACTCTCACATGGATGGTAGTAGGTCTGTAGGTCAGCTACTCAGTCAGTGATGGTGAGGCAGTGCTCAAGCTTAGAGTGCTCTGATAGGTTTTGACAGGCTTGAAGTGTTGCCAGCCAGGAGGAGGCATCTAGCTGAACAGTGGTGGGAGGAGGGTTAGACCATACGCGTTGATACTCAAATACAAGTTGTGCTGTATGGACATACTGGGACGTTATGGGACAAATTATATGTAACGATGAAATCCCGTGCAAATCAAGTGCTTGATTCATCTACAGGCCTTCATGATCTCCCTGTCTGTGCCTTTCCTTGTGGTCTCTCTCTTCCTGCCTCTTTAGACAGCCCTATGGGTAATATATATTGATTCCTTATTTCCTCCTGGAGACTTCTATAATGTGTGTGTGTGTGAGAGAGAGAGTGTGTGTCCAGGAGCACATTAAAACATTGTGGCGGCACAGAATTACCGGTAATGCCATTAAAGCTGTTGTGTGTGCTCTGTTCATTGCCGCTGCTCTCAGACCAGCGTGTCTGCACATTAAGAGGATTACCGCTGTGTGTTTTACCCTCAGCTGTTAACTCAGGAATGATCCGTCACTGATACACTGTCAGTCAGGTGAACCAGGATCAATTTGGGCCGGCTACCAGAATTAAATGTCAGCGCGCGAGAGATGGGATGTAGGGTTGTGTTACAGAGGGAGTGTGTGCGATGAAACTCTGTCTTTGTGTGTGTGTCCTCCTGTGAGTCTTTGACCCTCATTACTGCACATATGCTCTATTTTCTCAGTGTGTTACATCCCAAGGCACACTTTGTGTAGCAGGAAGCAGAACAAAAAAGGGTTACACAAACTCCCATGTGGTTCACTGGGCTTGTTGACACAGGGATCCTCTGACCCTTCTCCCCAAGGCAATTACTGACACATTTATAGCTCCAGTCTTTGTGGAAACCACTGATATTTTAACAGTGAGGTGCTGCGTGATGATAAAGTTAATGGTTTACCCATTGTGTATTTGCACGGTACAATTAGGTGTCACGTGTCAAACACATTTGTGCAGGAATATGTTTGCACAGTGAACCCGTGTGTCTACAACACAACGTGTGTTGGTTATACAAGGTCATTACAGAACAAGCTAAGATGGGGGTGGGACAATGTGTCAGCAGAGCTCAGGAGTTCAACAAGGGATTTATAGTGAGCTCTTTTCCTCCTCTAACCTTCAATCTGAGGACGAGATTGAGAGCATTTATTTGGATGTCTTCTCTCATATTTGCTGTTCTCCGCAGCCCCCTTTGACTGATTTTATTTGAAGAGAGATTGCAGACATGCTCTACATTCACCCCCTCCGATGCCTGTTAAAACCACAGAGCTGCTTAGTTCAGTTTCAGTCTAGTCTAAATCCCAGTGGAGCAAGCAACCAGCTTTTTGGCAAGAACTACTGACAGCTCCCAGAGTTTGGAATAATGAGTTATGACTTCTGAGAGTCTGCGTTTGATGTCCAAAAGTTTTTGAAGCGCAGTATTTAGAACTAAAATTCTCTTCAATCCCACTTTTTCCACACTAAACTTGATGCACTGATGAATATGTCTGTCTCTGATACACAGGTATGTCCACGCCCTGTATTTGGGCGTGCAGAGCCGCTGGCACAGGGACCCCGAGAGGCGTCACTACTACTGGCGCATGATGTTTGAGAGCGCTGATATCAGCATGCTGCGCCTGCTCGAGTCCTTCCTGAAGAGCGCCCCTCAGCTCGTGCTGCAGCTCAGCATCATGATCCAGGCCATTGAGGTGCTGCCCCTTCAGGGTGAGTGTCCCAAAATGACCAATCACCACATCAGTCAATCACAAGTCTACGGCCCACGCTGTGCATGATGAGTCACTTGTGCTCGCCTCAATCAGGCCCCCACAGAGCAGGGGAATGTATATTCTTGCCATGCTAAATGGTAAGACACCCCAGAGGCAATTCCATCCTGTCTAACTTCTCTTGCTCAGTCTCTCTCTCTCTGCTCTGTCTCCTCAGGGCTTTCAGCTTCTGCCTCACTGATATCCCTCGCCTGGATGGTCGCCTCCTATCAGAAAGTCCTGAGGGACTCCCGAGATGATAAGCTACCCATGACGTACAAGGCCGTCATAGTTCAAATTCTCTGGCACCTGTTCACCATCGGTGCACGCACTCTGGCCTTCGCCCTGTTTGCCTCAGTGTTCCAGCTTTACTTTGGCATCTTCATCGTAGCCCACTGGTGCATCATGACATTTTGGATAATTCAAGGCGAGACGGACTTCTGCATGTCCAAATGGGAGGAGATCATCTACAACATGATGGTGGGCATTGTGTATGTTTTCTGCTGGTTCAGTGTGCGAGAGGGGCACACCCGCTGCAGGATGCTCATCTACAGCCTGACTGTGTTCATTGAGAATGTGGCACTCACCACTGCCTGGTACCTGTACCGTGGCCCTCGTACCTCAGACTTCTATGCCGTCATCATGGTGTGCGTGGTGGCCAGCAGCTACGCTCTGGGCACCTTCTTCATGTTTGTGTATTACTGTCTGCTGCACCCTGATGGCCCTGTCTCAGGGTGGGGTTATATAGCGGAGAAGGAGGTGCCTGTGGAGTCGCTGGCCTCCCCAGCTACCAGCCTCCCCCCTGACCTGGTGAGCAGTCCCCCCAGAACCCTTCAGAGAACTAAAGGGTCAGAAAGAGAGCAGGGGTCTGGGGTAGATGGAGACGTGTTTCAGGTACGACCACCTCGGGGAGCTCAGGCCCCAGTGCCCAACCTCACACCCAGGACAGAGGGGCCTGTCATCCGAATAGACCTGCCCAGGAAGAAGTACCCCGCCTGGGACGCTCACTTCATCGACCGCCGGCTGCGTAAAACCATCCTGGTGCTCGAAAGCGCCGCACCGGTCACGCCAAGGATTCAATACCGCTGTCTGGGCACACCCAAAGAAGTGATGGAGTACGAGACGACCGTGTGATGTGCTGAAGATGCTGTGACTCAGCTCGCTGCCGTGTGGACACCCTGCCTGAAATAAAACGGCAGGTGGATGACTCTCTCTGAGCAGTCTGTTTCAGCTCCACGCCCACTTGATTGCTCTCTGTACTGTCAGGCAGTGGAGACAACCAGGCGCAACCAGGGACGGAGTGTGGTGTCTCTATTTTTTACAAAGGCAAAGTGCTGTGATGTTGTCTAATGGTGGTGCATATTTCGGTTTCTGTATCATTTCTCAGGTCAGGGCGTGGTACAGGAAAAGGTCGACGTTAGCAGCAAAGCTCTGGTGAAGTTAGAGAGAAGCACAGGTAGGCAGAGAAATGGAGGTGATTATCAATCAGAGGCAGAGAGTCCTCCTCAGTGAAGGTGCTTCAGCACATCCTCTCAAGGCGGTCGACAACAGAGACGAGCCTTCAACATGCATGATTATTTATGGCAGCTACAACTAAAACACCACTGAACAGGATGTAGAGAGGCATTTAAAGACAGTGAACTCACACTGTAATTTTAAACACAATCTACAATAAAATACAACACAGGCACTGATGGTCATCATCATAATTTTCCATAGCTACTCACTCATGTTGAAGGAGTCTCTGAGACGCTGCTTCGTATCTGAAGGGCAGTTCAAAAGCAACATTTGAGTTGAATGTAAAAAAACTGTTGAAAATGTGATTATTTGTGAAAAGGCTTTGAGCATTTTCATGCTGTTAGTGGGATTTACAACATTCCTGTGGTACAATATTTGTTTTTTGAGGTAAGCTAGAACAAAAAAAAAGAGATTTGTGTGTGTTTACAAGCAATCTGTTGTTTCTGGGACACGCCATCACTATTATTCTAATAAGATGAACCTTCATTCAGAATGTGTACGTACTGAACAATAGCTACATTATGATTTACATTTACAGGATGTATTCTACTGATAGGACTCTCAACAGTTGTATTTTCATACTGCATCCATCTCACACAGCAAAGGAAAACAGGACATTAATTTCCATGTAAATTAAAGTGTATAATGAAGAGGACGTTACAGAGGGACAGCACTGTCTGTAATTGTACTGTATCCATACTTTGTTGTCTGAATAATGTAGGGGAAAAATAGCTGCAGACTCCAGACTCAGAATAGCTTTGATATTATTGATGGTACAGGCATGTGGTACTTGTGGTAACACTTCATTTTACAGGTCTGTCATTTCCTGAGTTTCCTAAAAACTATCCAAGAAAGAATTTTTCAATTTGGTTGATTTTTAGGAAAAATAGAGACAAAGTTTCAGGTATTGATCTCCAGAGGAATTTAGTTGAAAAGACCTATTTAAACCACCAGATAATGTATTCATCTTCAACTCATTATTGGAAACTTAAATTTGTTTTGTTTGTTTCATGCGACTCTAAACCATGATCATATGATATGAAGCACAAACATAGCACACAAAAATAATAACAAGCCAACGGCAACACAGCATTCAGTAACTTTTGGCTTATGTGATTTAATAACAAAATGAATTTGAACATGGATATGCAATTGAAATAACAGTTGTCATTACAGAGGTTACAGATCCTCTGGTTTCCATACAGCCCTTTATATCTTCCAGAGACTTCTGGTGTTGTACACTATAAAATTACAAATAGCCTGCCTTTCCTTTTGTTTTCATGCAACAGATACTTTTCCAGTTTAAGCCCTTGTTTAAATTCAACATGAATATGACATGAAGTCATACTTCTGAGCTCACTTTATCACTTTTTCATGAACTGATCTTTCAGCCTCTGATAGACAGTTTCAACCAGTTCACATTGTCACTGTTTTTGTGTGAACCAGAGGTGAGACAAACTGCAAGCAGAGCAAACAGGTGTACATTATTTCACTGAGTTTAGTCTTTCTTGCCTCCCCCAGTAGCCAATGATTCTCTTTTTAACTTTGAAACAGTCCATAAGATCCATACTAAAAATGTACGTACGGACAAAAGCTGATAATGGTGCACACCAAAAAATATTCAACAATATCCACAATCAGGCTTCCACCTCACCATCTAAGTCACCAATTTCCTGTCTTCAAAATGTTCTGAAGCAAAGTTTCTCCCACCAAGTCTGTTTTTATAGATCACTACTTTTGCGTGGAAAGTGGCGTACACCCTTTTCAAGCCTTGTTTTGTGCGTATGTTATGTTTATAAATGAGACCCCTGGTATCTTTCCAGCTCCCCATAGACCTTATTATTGCAGGTTAAAAATTTTACTTGTAGGGTATACTTAAGAAATTTGAGGTGTAGTTTTTCCAGTATGTCTATTTTTTTTTTAAAGTCACTTGACATGAATGAAACAACCAACTTGTCAAAAAGATCCAGTGTGATATTTGCAGGCAAATCAAATTTTCTACATTTACAGAGAGTGGCAAACATTGCAAGACGAGCCTGCAGATGCAGCTTCTTAATGGCCCTCTTAATTCATCATGACCCCAAGATATTTAAAGCAATGGACAATCTCCACATTTTCTCTATGCGCACAAACTTAAGTTTAAACTTAAATATCAGCTTTTCCACCCAAAACTTTTTTTTTTAAGATCTATTAATCTTTAAATTTCATTTGTAAATTGCACATATGGGCCATTGCTTTCTGTAACACTTCTTTTGTTGTAGACATAACAATTATATCATCCGCATACATCAGTACCATAAGCTGGATATGACTAACTTTAAAACATTAGAAAAGTAAACAGTTAAAACAACCAAAGAGCTGATAGAGCAATGGCCAAGTGTCAGGGAGAATAAAACACTTAGTTTGTCAAAAAAAAAAGACTGTTAAATATCTAGGCTTGTTAATTAAAAAGAAATACACAAATCCAACAGAATTGCATTAAAAGTTCCTAAAAGAATCCTTAAAATTCATCAAAATTGCTTACGTTTTACACAGACTTCCTCCATTTGAGTCTTCACTGTCAGACACAATAAAAAAACATAAAGATATACAGTTACATGTAGAAATATTAGAACACCTACACACAGTGACAAGAACCAACCGATTCATTCATCCTTGTACTCATGAGAGCTTTAAAATCAGACAGAGAGACCAGTTCACGTAGTTTCACTTCTTTAAGTTAGGTTGGAAACCACTGATCTAGGTCACTGAAAACAATGCAGACAACAGTGGCGATTAAATTTCACCCTGTCTTACTCCTGCAGGGCTGGCAAAAAACTCAGATTTAGTACCATTAACAAATGTACATGAGCTATTCTTTGTGTACGATGAGTTACGTACCAACCAAATCAGATGTTTCAGAATACCTACTGAAAGAGTCGAGGTTACATTTGCTTAGCATTAAATTGGAATCGATTATCTGGTTTTAATTTAATTTAATTTAATTTAATTTAATTTAATGACATCATTAGGAACTGACTGACCTGTAAAATGGAGCGTTACTGTACTTTCTTTTATCAGGGTTGTTTTTCTATAGAGTAGTCACAAGAGGGAAATTTCTGAACCGTGTGTGTGTGTGTTTGTGTGTGTTTGCGTGTATGTGTGTGTAAGCTCACATACCAGCATGTTTTTATGGGTGTATGGGGGGGGGGGGGGGGGGGGGGGGTCCTGCCATGTGCATTTAAATTGATTTGAAATTGTGTCACTGAGATGAGACAGTTTTGTTGTAAACACTGTCTGGTCTGCTCAGTTTTTCCCAGATGACACTGAGATGAATAAATAGCCCACAGAACACCTTTACCACCCCTGCTGCAGGAACAAAAGCCAGAGAGGCTTCAATTATGGTGCTAACTGTTTGAGTCCATCACGTAACAACCAATACGGTGTACCATAAAATGAGCTTGTTGTGGCAGGAGCTGGGCGGGGCTGTACCTCAAAATACAAACACAAAGCTAGAATCAAAAAGCCTTAAACTGGTCATGCCAGACTGTTGCTGTTCAGAGCAAGAAAAAAAAGATTATCAAGAAGGTGAAGACAATTTCATTGTTGTTGTTGCTAAAATAAAGAGCAATGTGTTTACCTGACTTCTGCTGTCAGTGCCTTTTTACACAGATAGATAGATAGATAGATAGATAGATGTCTAAGGAGGCAAACTGATTGTTCAGATTAGATTGAGACTAAATCCCATCTCTGTGTTGCAGTGAATCAGTGGATCAGTGGATTAGCGGCACTCAACTTGTCGACACCTCCTGTATGTCCATACAAAGGTCAGTGGCATCTCAACAGACCAACTTACTCTCTAACACTGAATACACTCTCTGTCGTGCCGTTTTCATTGTAATTAAACTGAACCGTGAAGGATTTCCATCAGTCTATTGTATTGATCACTTCCACTCAGGAGATGGAAAAGCTCTCATAGTTTCTGTCTGAGAGAAACAGACTCGAGCTTCATGTTTGCAAGTCAGTGGCATGTGAAACAAAATGCTAAGTGCTATGCTAAGTAGATAGCTGATGCCTTTTTCCTCAAATTGTGCTTATAGGACTTGTTACAATCCCTAAAAGTAATCAGCACTTGCCTGGCGTCTTGAGTGGGAGAGGTATTTACTTCACTGGGGTCATCAGGTGGGCAACCCCCTTCATTGGTGTTACGATGATTGGCCCACGACACCTCCAGAGGGCTCAACAGCAACACCTGGAATCCCAGGTGTGCCCCCCTCCGATTTTAACCCCTCATATTGGACATCTTGTAGACCAGTTGGTCCTTCCTCTTCATCCAAAGCCAATTGCTGCACTGCACAGCAGCCTCTGATAGTGACTTTATAGCTTGTTAGAAGGCCTGTCCTCAAACCCCCATACACTTCAGAAGCCTGGTTGATGATGTGGCTACACATCCTCTTCACCCAGCCTCTACAGGGAGCACCTGGGTACACCAGCCATGTTGTTCTGCGTCAGCTGCTAGGTCTGTGGACTTCAGACTTTTGCACTCATAAGCCTTCCCAACTGCAGTCCCCCATGCTACTGTTAGTTCCACAGTGTACAAGGACTTCTGTGAGGTTGATCACAAGATCAGGTCCGACCTGAGATAAGTTGTAGCAATCTCTGGTGGAAAGCTGAGTCTCTGATCCAGGTCAACCTGCATTTTCCAGTCCTGGGCAGTTTCCAGGAGGGTTGTTTCCACTCTTAAATGTAAAGAGTATGGATTTATTATTATTAGCACATTATTAGCATTATTAGCTTTATCATTAACTCTTTTGGCCACAATAAATGTGTAATAAAAATCTGATATTGTGCCAGCCCTAATCACCAAACAGAAAGAGTAAACACCAGCCAAAAGGAACTGTTCACAACCTGGCAACCCAACAAGTTTTCTAGTTAATGGCTTTTAGTAAATGATTTATTAGCCGTCAATAAAGCCAATCATTCCACTTAGCTTTTAGACCTTGATCTGAATTTGGAAGAATTTAAAGAAAGAAAGTCGGCTTTTTGTTCACTTTAAAATCATAAAGGCCTAATTAGGTTTAAGTTTGGGAAAACAAAACTAAGTTAAGTACTAACGGCATTATTACAAATATAAAGCATAAACACTAGGTTAAGGAAAGTTCACAACCAAAACTTGTTCTCTGTAGTGGCTTTTATTCATTCACCCATCCATTTTCAACCGCTCATCCAAAGCTGGGTCGCGGGAGTAGCAGGCTGAGCAAAGTATTCCAGATCTCCTCAACAACACTTTCCAGCTCCTCCTGGAGGACCCCATGATGTTCCCAGGCTAGATGAGATATATAATTCCTCCAGCGTGTTTTGGATCTGCCCCAGGGCCTCCTACCAGTGGGACGTATCCAGAACACTTCTAACGGGAGGTACCCAGGAGGCATCCTGATCAGATGCCCAAACCACCTCAACTGACCCTTTTCGAGCTGAAGGAGCAGAGGTTCTACTCTGAGCTCTCACCAAATGTCCAAGCTCCTTACCCTATCTTAGCCACCCTTTGGAGGAAACTCATTTCGGCCACTTGTATCCATAATCTCATTCTTTTGGTCACTACCCAGAACTCATGACCATTCAAGAAGACCAAAATGACACATGCCGGGGAAATAGTACCTTGTCTGTTATGGGGACACTGGGCCCCCCATCAGGAGCCAGACCTGGGTGGAGCTCGTCTTTGAGCATCTGGTGGCTGGGCCTTGTCCATATTTAGAACATGTGCATTTCATTTAAGTAGAGGACTTCTATTTTGACAAAATTAAAGACATTTACACAATAAATGGATGCAAGAGGGTGCAAATTGGTGTATAAATATAATCAAGAATACAGGAAAATAGTTGTTTGAAGCTTACATACCCCATTTTATATGTGCATCCCCCAAATGTTGAATAAAAAACACTACGCTCTTGCTATGTAGGTCTGAAGGATTTACAGCTTTTAGACTTTGATTTGAATTTGGACGAATTTTGAAAAAGGAAAAAAACAGCTTTTCGTGCATATTTTTTATATAATTAGGTTTAAGATTTAAATTTAAAAAGTGGTATCAATAATCAATAATCAGCCATCAAATTTAACCGGTGAATTTTATAAAGGCTTTCTTTGTTTCCAGAGCACCGCCCACTCTTATACTACATCCAATCAACTGCGAGCTAGATACATAATTTCCGCCACATCCAATCAGCGCATAGAGGGGCGGGGCTAATTTGGTGGTAACGGTGTCTCGTAGCCTTCGCCTCCAACGGCCACATTTCAAACTAGAATGGCTACCGCTGTCTGCGGTCTGCAGTCCACCGGCAGCAGCAGTAAACCCGTTAAAACACACCGGGAGCAGCGGAGAAAAACGAAGGACTCCAGGAGGAGACAAGCGGCTTTGTTGTTCCTCAATAATATCTCCCTCGACGGACGGCCCCATTGTCAGCACAGCGATGAAAACACCGACCAAAAAGCCGCCGAGGAGCAGCGACTCAGGGACAGACACGGCGGCGCAACGGTCGTGCCCCTGCCGGCTGAGGGCCAGCGGCCGGTCACCCAGGTGACAGAGCCCGCTCCAGCCGGCAGTGGCTCGTCCTCCAGTTTCCCGGGGGTGTTCAGTCCCATCCGACCTCCTTTGGTGATGTCTCCGGCACCAGTCGGGGCAGCTGCTCTGGGGGCTAATGAGGTATTTTTGGAGGGTGGCAGTGCGGCTGAGACGCTAACCCCCGACACCCCTCTGTCCCCTGTGCCCACCGGACACCAAGCCTGCTCCCGTGTCAAGTCAACGCCCACCGCATTGAGCCCGGTCCCGGCCGGTAATTCCCTGGATTCACGGCAGAGGTGAGCACGGTGGTCTGTGTGTATTCATGGGCCTTTAAACAGGCTAGTCGCTTCCGCATAAAATAAAGCAGGCATTATCAAAGAGAAGCACTTTCATTCTCACTGAGCTTTCGTAATGTTCTAGAACTTTCTGTTTTAACCCAGAAGAGATGACTGATGTGCCAAATATAAATGATATGTGATATATAGGTTTCCAATAGGGTTGATTCCCTGTATTCTCCTTTTTTGAACACTGTTGCCTGGTGTCTTGAATTATCAGTGTTTCTGATTTAAATCGCAGTCACTTTCTTGCTTGAAAAATAAGTCATAACCCTTGTATCAGCTGTCAGGTTTATGATTTGAGGTGTGGTTTGAAGAAAACACCAAATTAATGTTGTCTTCCTTCTTAAAGGTTGGTTGAAAGTGACCCACTACTTTGGCTATACCTCCAGATTTGTGATGTTAAAGAGCTTTACATCACAGATTACCGATTGAGCCCTGTCATATGAGCGTCCTTTTGTTTGTTCTGTGCAATAATGAGGTATTTTTGTCTTGATCTCTACTCAGGTTGAGGAATGTGTCTGGCTCTCCTGGACCCAAGGTGCCAAAGAAAGTCCACTTCATCAAGAGTATGAGGCAGTATGATACTAGGGGATGTAGGTGAGTCTCCAATATCACACATACAAATACATTTACATAATATATACAGTAGAGGAACCCCAGAGAAATGCTGCTATACTTAGTTTCCTGACAGAGAAATGTAGGAAACAAAACAATGCTGCTTTATTTTGGACTTTAAAACATGCCGTAAACTCAGCAGCAGTGCTACACTCCTCCTGCTTGTGTTGTAAATAAGCTGCTTAGCTCTGGCACAGAGACTTAGTTTGGCCTGCAGAGGAATAACAGCAGTACAGCTGCTGCGTGGCGACTGCTACAGTAAATTTAATCACCCTTGGAGGCTTTGCAAAAGCCAAAAGAGGTGCAGTGAGGAAAGTGGAAATGTAACACCCCACTGCAGCAACCGTAAGGTAACCCCAAAGCGAGGAAGGACTGAAATATCACACTGTTGTTATGCTGGTTGACCCGTATTAGAAAGCAAGTGTGTGTTACAGTTTACAGTTTTTTATTTATTTTCTGTCATATTTTCTTGCTCTGTCTGTAGACACTGAAAACAACATGTCATATAGTTTTTTTTCTCCACTAACCAAATCATGTGTTTTCGACTCCCATTTTTTACATTTCTCCTCCACTTTACGAACATTTCATGCCCACATACATGAAGATGTGTCATGTGTTTTCTGCTGGTGTGTGCGAAACAATGATGAAGCAATCATAAATTGCCCCACAGGTCTGATTTTCT